AAATCGTCGAGTTGATGAAGTAGCAATAAGCAGTTCATCGGATCTTATACTCACAGATATTTTCACAGATTATCTTTAGATGACAAAACATAAATGTGTCATCGATAAAGGAACACTATGACAGATAGAATTATCATATCTCCATAAAATGATCGGTAATTTACATAAAGCATGAAGTGAATGGTAAATTTACCATCCTGGACTTCAGTCATTCAACACAGAAGAGATAACACACCACAAGGATTTATTCACTGTAAAACTACATGGAATGAATCTCACCTTGCCTTAATTTCAACTGTTTCTCTCTATTCTAATATAAACGAGCATCGGTTAGGAAGTTGTTGTTTAGAGCACGAAGAATATTCTCCTTTAGAAAAGCCTCATTGTGGAATAATCATCTGTCAAGATGTAACTCAAACGAAACAGATACCCATAAAGCTTCAGTCAGTCAGTAAGATGTCGGTCTTCCTTACCCTCGACTTCAAAGGTGGTGATACTGAGATGATGGTAAACAGAGGACCACGCCCAACACTGACCAGGACTTATCTCTTAGCTGTTGCCACCATTTCAAAATTCTTGCCGACTGGTGCATTGAAAACTAGGCAGGTAACCATCATATATCACGTTCAGATGAGTGTACAGGTTTGCATGCACCAGACGGAGGAGTTGTGCTGGAATAGTCTGAAAAAGGACTTCACTCCGATGTCTTGAACATGTCTGGAAGAGGTTCCTTTTGAGAGGAGTAAGTATTCTCAATGGTATTATTACTACTATCATCATTACCACTGTTAGAACACAAACATGGTTAAAGCGAGGGAACCACGAAATGCGCCATGCAACACAGTACAACAACAACGTGAAGACATAAACGATGGGAAGTGGGTACGTAAGAAATAAAGACACAGTAAGAATCAGATGATCAGAAGGACAGTCCACTAAGATAAATTCGAAACAAAGTCTTCATTACTTTTCACCAACAGAAGATAGGAGGAAGCTACAGCATGACTGCCATTCGTGTCGATTCTCAGTCATATCCAATAACGTCTGAATCACTGGAGTTGTGTGATCTCTTGGACGCCAACCCACCCCACGGCACGCAAGGAGTGGTGATGCACCAACAGAGGCTAACATGATACAACTATCCTTCATCTCACGCACCACATCATACACCGACCACCCATCCGCTTCTCCAATCCTGTCGCAGATCCAGCAGACAATGAACGGACAGGAAGCCGTTGGGATGACATGCGTAACACATTTCTGCAGCCGGTGTTTCCACCGGATACGAGGAATCCTACTTAAACAAACATGTTCGATCACATACACACAATGTTTGCAGGTTGTCAGCTCGGAGATGTCATTTTTCACAGGTGTAGAGCAGAACCGGTCAGATCGAAGTGTTTGAAACCTGACCCTTTACGACCAGACTAAGGTCGTGATGGCGCCAAAGTTGACCCAGATTGGTGTATTCCACTCCGGCTCATGACATGCGGTTGGAGACTACACTGTTCACATCTGCATCGGCACACACACACACACACACACACACACACTCACATAACTACCCAGATCCACGTACTTTTAGGCTGTTTCCAATGGCTCACCAGCAAGGTTGAGCGCAGAGACATACACTCCTGTCAACCTTGCACATCAGTAGTGCAAATCAAGCACCATACTTACTGACACTATTTCTCAGTACTTAGTGTACACAGGATATCGAGTAGATGCTTAGGAATTGTTCATGGTAAGCACACAACGAAAACAGAATAATTCGCTGCTTTTTCACTTCACTGAATCCATGGCAGTCAAAAAGTTGAAACGAGATTTCTGTGTTTCAATGTAAGATGTCACTAATCTTCAACTTCGTGATATCCTATTCTCTTGAACCGCTAGTTGACTGATTTTATCACTCCCAGTATAACACTTCAAGTCACATTAAACCCCTATTTTGGGCTACCGGTTTCCACTCATTAGGTTTCAATACATTTTATTGTTCAATTCCTATTAAGTTATCTGCCCATCAGCAAACGCCATCTCTTCTTTAACATACGCCACCTTCTATTAGAAACCTAACACTTTTTCCCTTTTACCTCTATTTAACCCCTCTTTAGAACTTTTATTCGAATGAGGTATGTTTAAGTACCTATAAACATGACACCACGACATGCTTTACCGTCTTTACGTCAATACTTGAAGTTTCGTTACTCTCTTATGTCGTTTTCCTATTTCGGCTTGTTTGGCTGCACTAAAGCATTTTAATTTCTTATTGTAACTATCCTACGTCATAAGCAGCTTACGAGGACCGCCGGAATAAAACATCGCATCCGTATTATTTGGGTCAAGCTGTTTTAGAGGCACCCAGTTCCTGATGTTACCTTCATAAGGAACATCAACACACGACCGCATATTAATGCATAATGGTCCAAGTTGCCACAACCGCATACCATCACCACAAGGAACAAAGCCATAAGATGAACAAATAAAAAAGCACTGGTTAACAACAGTAAGGGAAAAAATTAATAAAATCCTGAACTCAGTAACGCGATTACGATGACGTGTGGATATATCTGCGCCATTTACATCGAGTCTGAGCCTCGTCTGTTGTGATGCTAAGCACAATCCGGAAGCCTGCACTCATTTGTACGCCTCCAATCAACAACTCAATACTTCATACAACTATGCCGTGTTTCAGTCTGTCCACCCGAGCCTTTTCCCAACCTAAACTTACTTCATGTAACATTGTGCTATTAAGCATGCATAACACATGTCCCAGATCAAGGTTCATGACCTCATCAGCTGACTTTCCTTTCTATCCTAAGGCTTTACACCTGACTTTTGAATTACTGACTTGGAGACACCAGGACAGACGTCCTTTGCAACGAACGAAGCAGTGGTCGAACGCCACAAGCTTTCTCATGTCTTTTACTTTTGATAGCCATGTTTTACAGTCATACAGCAGAACAGAGCGAACTGCAGCACAATACAACCGACACTTAAACGAAAATTGGATACCACAGCACCGCGGATTTAAACACCGAGAGGAAAATCATAATGAACTCAAGACCTTGTTTGATACCTCTGCATATATTAAGAATCAATTTAGTAGTGGAAAGCTGACCAATGTCGTCCTGTCAAGTATTTTATCCTGGTCATCATCATTCTAGTTCATCGTGACACGACGTCAGCCTAAAACTCAGTTTGCAGCTGGTTGTAACAGTGTGTTGGTTGACACGTGAATGTGTCTTGATTCTAATGCTTTCACACGTCACATGAGAAGTGACGTAATATAAGTGGAGGAGATATATTGATAACAATGAGACAGTTTAAGAGTTAGCAAAACATTAGTGAGGTCCCCATGCTTCAACTTTGTGGAAATCCACACGCTGAAAGTCGTTATAAGTATACTCTTTACGTGATTGCGATGAGACAACTCATGTCCCACTGGGATTTAGAAATTACCTATAAACTATAACAAATACACAATTTCCTGTCTGTCGTTTATTGATGAGATTGGTACATAAGAGTTGTGCAGTACAGTTGTTTACTCACGCTTACAAGATATGAACCCACAAATTCATGGTTAAATCATTCAGGTCATTGTGAATTTTCTACAGATGCTGATACTAAGGTCAACACGACTTGTACTGACAGTAAATGCTAAGTCAAATATAATTTCGTAGGCTACTTTTATACTGGAACTCACGCGACTATTTAAGCACCTAAGGAGAGTTGGCATGTGAGATGACGATATTCCCATCGTCATCGTTCCAATTTAACTTCGTGGTAGATGTAATGATGGACATAAACTTAGGTGCATATGACTTCACAGAGATTGACCCACTCCCGAGATGTTACCTAGCTGACTTGTCCCGCTACGTGAGGACACCGATAAAATACAAGGTTTTCTGAAAGCCTTGAGAAACCTGAGTATGTTTGGCGAGTGTTCCGCACCTGCCAAATATAAGATGATACTCCACGACTGATTTTCACTTGCTCCCAGTTCAAGGATATAGGAGTGAAGTAGTGGAATGTATCAACTTCACTTCCTTGGGAAACTGCATCAATTCGTACGGGCTGGTTGCTGACAAAATCTCAGCGCAGAAATAGAAAGCCCATTTGCTAACTTGCGTCATTGCTGGCGAGATACCCGATCACTTATCAAAGGGGTGGTATACTGCGCTTCAGTTCGTTCTGTCCTGTTATACTATTGTAAGACGGCCACTAAAAAGAAGACATGAAGCAACTATAGGGATTTGATCACGGCTGTCGTCATAACATTGCTCGCGTCTGGTGGAATCACCGTGAATGTTAAGGTGAGGCGAAGGTAAGACAGACCAATTAATAGGGTTGTGAACCTTAGTCAACTGACGTGGCCTTCACACGTACTGAACCACCCGAGTCACCACCCTACCTCGACGTGCCATGCTAGGGAAAGCTTGATTACATTGGGATACAGTTCAAGATAACCAAACATAAACCCGGCACCAGTTCATGAAATGTTTGACGCGTGTGAGATGTAGACTACATGGCTGGCTTCGGTTCCCGAAACCATAGAAATTAGTGGTGGGTAACTCTTAATGAATTGGCTAGGAATCGGTGAAAATGGAGGATGCATTCACTTTTTGACTTCTAAAACATGAATATATGCACCAACCGTTATCTTCAGATTGTTTATTCTCGTGCACTACTTTATCTACTTTGATAACACTTACGACCTACTCCTTCTTTGTATACTACTGTGAAGTTTTTAGCAAATTGCACCTGTATGTCAGGTCCTGCGCTGATTTCAGGCTACTGACGTGTCCCTGCATACAGCTCTAAGTGGATAGATGCTTCTGCGAACTTTGAAAACCTTTCACAATGTGTTTCCGGATACCGCTGGTGACAGCTAGCACCTTATCCGTGTTTATCGACAATTACACAAATATCACAAATTTTTGAAAACATCGTTACCAAGGAAATAGTTTTATGTCAGTTCAAAGCCATGAAGAAGGACTGTATACTGCGAAAAAATTCAATTTTATTTACATAGTCTTTATATTATACAGGGAAGTGTGAAGTAGGATTGCTGTCTGTGAGTAGCACTAAACAATCTTCTCCTCCGATCGTATATACTCCCCGACATCACCTTGATGGAACAAAACCATTGTCATTGGATCTGTGTTTTGTACTTGTAAAGAAGATTTTGCTGCAACTCCAAAACCCTAAAACCAAACTATAAGCAAACTTAAGAAATTATTTACTATTGGCATATCACTCATATTCATCACAACGACACCAGCATACTGAGGTGTGTTATCCGACATTTTCGCTAGTCCTGAACGGACAACATTCTGCCCGTAAAGAAATTGCTGTTCAGATGGGGTTTTCAACCAAACACGATGTTTAGCGTATGGTGCCAAAAAATCCAATGCAGTTATATGTATTTTAAACTTTTCAGTTTTTGAGAAGCGACCTATGCATGTCCCAAAGCTTAAAAGATGCTTCTTCTTAACGGTTGCCGCATGTTTTGCAAGTGAAGTTCTACAGTTGTTCAAACGAATAAGATAGAACTTACCTACAGTAGAATACACGACCACGGTGTAAGTAAAAGTTGTATTTATCATCACTCCTGTTAAGTAACTCATCAACATCTTTGATACTAAAGAAAATACTATGGAAATATTTGTAGACATACTAATTCTGAATTTTAGAAACAACTTTTTTAAACTCTTCTTCTTTCAAGTCACGCATAACTGTGTCTACAAGTGTCGTCGTCGATGTTTGGATGGCAGCTGAAAAATACTACTTCTCCTACACACAATTAAAGTGTGCTACACAGAAAACAAACAAACCCTGACGAGAAGCAAAGTTAGGAAAGCAGATGATAACGTACCTCAGCAAAACGTACAAGGCGCCTAAATGTCCCATTCTCAGAAGTGGAGAAGAAAACAAGTATCCAATGGCCAACATCAATAATATGAGCATAAGAAACTTACAGCTTTTGATTTCTTGAGGAGACCTTTTAGATCTTTTTCCTTTCTGTTCGGTATTCGCTTGCTTTGGGCAAAGAAATCCTTTCTGCTTTATAGTATCATTTTACCAGCCAGTACAAACCAATTGATTTATTCGCGACCCCTCATGGGTCTTAATAGATAGTTCGAGGTCTTTCATAGATTTCAATGCGTCAGGTCTGCCTTCTTGCCTGCTGTAGCTCCGTTTAACCTGGCGGGCGGTTTGACGATTAAATCTGCAGGGATTATATGCTTTTTCCATGTGCTGTTGTGCAAAAGCGATCTTTCAGTGTCATGCCATCAGACTGTTGTTCAGTTTGGTTGAAAAAAGATGGGAATTAATAAAGAGATCTTCGGCCGGATCAGTGGAGATGAGTTGGGAAGAAACAAGATGAAAAGATGCGGTGCGAAATGACAGAAGAAACCCAGGTAGGTTTGGAGATAACAGTGATACAGAGAACCTTCATAAGTAAGAATGATATCATAGAGTTAGGGGACGACGAACAGGAGGTTGAATCATAGTGCAGGATATGTGAATAGAAGTATTATTGTTATGGGCGGGGCATGGTGACTGTGAGACGTGTAACAGGGAAGTACAATGTTGAGACAAGTTCGCGATGACAGCGGCAGTACTATAGATTCGGCAGAGAGTTGATTGAACTGGATCCCATGCAATTGTTTGGCTGTATCGGCCCAGTCCGTGTGCCAGATGCATGAGCGTAGGCCGTGTGTCGCTCGTGACTGTTAAAACTTCTTGGAGCTGTCGACATATGGGCAGCAGTAATTTCGGCCTGCAATGCGTTGCAGCAGCCGCAAACTCCCAGGGAAGAAAGTTCGAACGCGCAAGGGTTTTCACTCTTTGATGAGTGAGTCCTCTTGGGTTACCACGAGGATCCCGACAGTGGCCATTCAGTAGGACTCCACAGTTTGGATGACTTGGATTACTTAATATTTTGTAAGCCATTATCAAGCCACCGCGTAAATTACCATAACTAAGACACCAAAGTCCCTTGTCTTTCAGCAGGATTTTGTAGTATTCTCGCCCCACTCCTACCACCCCCTCCGTTGCACTTCCTGGATAACTGTAGCAAGTGTTCAGCTCGTCGGTGATTATTAGCTCAAGGTCTTTCTCAGTGGTTGTGTGAAGACGTTGCGCACTACAGACAAAGAAGGATACTTTTCGCAAGTCTGAGTTGCAAAGAAACATGATTCGGCGGCTATTTAGAACAAGTGGTAGTCCATTGTTATCCAGCCACTCTGGAAGCAATCAAAGATCACTTTGCAGTGAACTCAATTCGGCTTCAAATGTCACAGGTCTCCATGGCTTTTGTGAGGGATTGTCTAACGTCTAAATAGTCCTGCAGTCAGGAGAGCGCCTGACCGTTGTTACCAAACCGTGATATTTCTCATACTAGAATAGCGTGTGAGACTGTGTCGAAGGTCTTGGCAGAATCCCAGAAAATCACATGAACAGGGACTTGGTGGTCCCAACCTGCCATCCAGTTTGTATCAGCTCCCAGAAGGTCTATAGTAGTCCACCAAGCTCCCCGTCGCTTCAGAAGGCTCTGGTAGAAGTACCACCGCTGGACCGCGATTCGAGTTCTACCCGCCTCCTCCTTTGAAGATAGGAGACAAAATAACACTGTTTCACTCTTCTGGAAGCATATTCTTGTCTAGGATGTGTTGAAACGGATTACAGAGTGGACCGAATAAGGCACCCGCACATTGTTTCAACACATACGTTCGAGTATTATCTCACCCCGGTGATTTTCCTATACAGAGCTTTGAGAGTCCTTCACTGACCACGGCAGAGTTTACCTTCGTTTCATACAACTCTTTTATGTTAAGTAGTGCTGAACGTTACTCATGAAGCTGGTATTTCAGGCTGGATGGCAGAATGCTTAGTTGTATGTCGGTGGCGGTGAAGGTTTCAGAAATCTCTAGTCCAGAGGAGCTCTCTTCATTCGGGCCTTTCATAATGCATGCCCTTTGGCTGGTAGACTTTTTTCTCCGTTATAAGTCGATATAGGTCATCGGACACGTATCAAACTTCTGATCAAGGTTTGCCCTAAAAGACCTCTTGTCTCCGCTCACTCTGATATTGCATCGATTCTCTGGGACTGTATACGCGGTATGCTCTTTCACTTTTTTCGAGATCCTCAATTTATTCTTTGGTCTCTAATTGGCTTTCAAGAGGTGTTCAGTGCATTGTTTCAGTCTCGAGATCGGTTTCTTTGGCATCGTTGTGACTATTGGCGCACTTTCGGAGAAAGTCTGCTTGACGATGCACCCTACTAGTTCCTAAAGTTGGCCAGTTGGTAAGCTACTCTGCTGCTGGGGTCACGGTGACTTCGACAGGTACTGGTCTTGCTGTGGCAAAGACAAGGGCGGGATCCCTCCTATGGTAGTTGTTTGCAGATTACTAGGTCAGACAGTAGCATACCTGGATCCCTGATGTTTAGAGGTAACTCACCATGAGCTTCTTCCGCCATCAGATGGCCGCCCGTAAGCAGACCCCCAGTCAACAGGCCTACGTAAGCAAGCCATTTTGATGGTGTTGCGTGGGTTCCGATGCAACATCCGGTTTATGGTTGCTCTGTGATGCCCAAGAGCAAGAGTGCGGGCCCTTAAATCGACCAGCCATGATGACCTAGCCACATCTCATAGATGTCACTGCTGATGGCACTTGAAACAGTCGTCGATTCCAGTCCACGCCACTAGTACCCTACCAGATTCCTGGTGTTGTTGGGGCCCCGGGTTGAAATCGATGGCTCTTGCGTACGAAGTTACCCTCCAGTTAAGCCTGCGTATTATATTCGTTCAGAATACGAGCGTATTCCAACACGAAGTGGCAAGCGACTGAGTTTGGGAGCCGCGATAGTACAGTTTCCGAGCCCCGTTCTTTTTTTAGATCGGCGCTCGCAACCATTGCTTTAAGTGTCTCTCCTGGGAAGACGCGAACAGTTTTTACCGCCTTTAACGTCACTTATATCCGACGCTTATCACGTTTCAGTCGGCACTTTAGTCTTCGGATTGGTACGGGAACAGAGAGACCGTAGTTCCCCCATCTTAACTTTAGTCCCCCTAGCTTTGCTATGTGAGACACCTGAAGGTGTTTTTTACGACATGGGGCGCTTCAGTAGTGGCGGACTGTAGACGGTAGTCCGTGATGATAAAGGTTGTTACTGGCTGGCCAGTCCCAGTGGAACCTGCACAGTCAGGTCTTTTCCTACGCTGGTTTTTGGAGGTATTATCAAGCCAAAGTCAGTTTGGATGTCGTCTTGTCCATTCACAGTGATAGCAACCTCAGTACTAATAGGTACCGTCGTTTGCCATTGTCGAAGTGTTCCGGGTATCCTTTCGTAAAAGAGAACGACGCCACTGATGTCGTCCCAGACTGAGTGCCTCGGTTGTCAAACTTTCTTTTCAAGCTCTGGACACCCGAAGTTTATGGCCATCAGTCTGGGCGATGAGGGAGGGATGTTGGAGCCTGTCGACCGCTGCGATCGCTACTGCACTTAACCCCATCCTTTCTGACACCTATGGCATTGCTGGACATCTTGAGTATGCGTTTCCACTAATGTTCTGGTTGTTAGTTCCAGTATATCACGGATGGCTACGGTTGTTGGTTTGAGCGTCCACATCATTCCCCGAGACATCTTCCTCGCCGACCATGGCCGATCTGGCCTAGCTTTAGTGCTGGATGATCAGCTGATGAACAGTGTGTGTGAAAGGAAGGAAAACCTTCCAGCCCCCTGCCTTAGGCTCGGGGCCACCGTTATCAAGGAGAGGAGATTTTCTCTGAGGTAAATGGCTGCCTTCGTGGAGCCGACATAGTTTTGCCTCCTGGCAGCCTACTCCTGATGTACAACATACCGTTTCACACTGCTATCTCTCAAAGGACTCGTTCTTCTCAGGAACTCCATGACATACGAGAACAATAAACAAGACGGCTGGATGCTATCTGCAATCGAAATTCCTGTTGTCAAATGTTGGTCAAGTGTGATGGGAAAGTTAATGATTGTTAAAGTAAGTTGTCCACCCTGCCTTCAGCGATCTGATTTTACAACTCAAAAGAATGTCAAAAGCGCCCTACAAGTTCAAAATTTATGGTCTAGTGGGACAAATAATATGGAGGTGCCACAACCTCGGTCATAGCAAGTAATCGACATCGCTAGACCTGCCACACAGTTGTCCATTTGGATGGTGATGTTATAGACTAATTGAGAATTGTACATTACACAGACAATAACTTTTTGCAGAGCTATTAGTTTTGGTGGTGAAGGCCTTGAATGGACGGGCGTATATTTGGTTATTTTTGAGAAGAACGGAGGCGACGTGAAACACGTCAGTATTCGAGGAACGCTTGTCAGGGGCTGAACACAGTGCTCTGGCGGGATGTGTTTTTGTTGGTTAATACTCTCAACTTTTAGGTTGCCTTACTTGGAAAGCCACGGGTTCCTGGCAAGGTTAGAGAGTCTTTCGTTACCCTTGTATGCATACGGGTGACTCGTAGGTCTTAAAAAGGTCACCCTTCCTTCTGTCATCCTTCAGTGCAAATAGGCTATTGTGCACCACTGCGCTAAAGCATGTTTTAGTCCTTGGTCCAACAGCTGATCTCGTTACAAACTTTTGAATTTTTTCAACAGAAACTGAACACTTTCATGTGTGGCCGTACACAGTATTTGGCAGCTGTCAGAAACAGTTCAGGAGTGAAAACAACGAGGCGTCTGCTCAGGAAAAGTAAGGTGACATTCTCCCCGGCCGGCATAATATAGCCGCTAGATCTGTTGGTTAGAGTGTCACAGGGGTTCAAACGCGACTTTCTTTTCGTGGACACATTGGTAATGGCACAGCCACTCAGCTTGTGCTTGTTTTGAGCACTTGTTACTTCATGTGGTTCTGATGTGGATTG